ATTGCGCCACCATTGCCCGCTAGTTTTTTCATATCTATATTAAGGTTGGGCAAGTTAGATGTTCTTTCTATTTTTTAATAGTAGGACGGGGTTCTACAAGTCGGCTGCGGTTTCGAATCTCCTGAAACCTTGAGCCAATCTGCCCGGCCTCGCCTCCCAGAGTGGCTAGGATTACAGGCGTGAGCCTCTGTGCCCGGCCAGCATGAGTAAATTTTAATTTCAAGTTTCATTAGGACACAGACCTTTGGCCCGGAGACGGTGGCCCCTCACGCCTGTAATCCTACAGCACTCCTGAGGGCAGGCAGGCAGTTGCTCCAAGGTCAGGAGTTCAAAACCAGTGCCTGCAGCAAGATGCGAGACGCCTGTTCTACGCATAAATTGAAAGAAATTAATTGGCCAACTAGTATTATAGGAAAAAAATTAGCTGGGCATGGTGGCGCATGCCTGTAGTCCCACTACTTGGGAGGAGGCTGAGACAGGAGGATCACCTATGTCCAGGAGTTTGAGGTTGCGTGTGGAGCGTAGGGCCGGACGCCACAGCACTTCACTTCGTGCCTGGGCACAAAGTGAGACGTCTGTCTCCAAAAAAAAAAAAAAAGACACAGACCTTATCTAGCTTGTTTTTACTGTTGTATCCCTAGAGCTCCACAGGGCATAAGGACCTAGCAGCATAAATGGTTTTTTTTTTTTTTTTTTTTTTGAACGACAGCGTCATCGCTTGTTGGCCCAGGCTAGAGTGGAGTGCCGGTGGCGGTCAGCTAGCTCACAGGCAACCTCAAACTCCTTGGGCTCGAGTGATCCTTCTGCTCAGGAGCCTCCCGGGTAGTGGGGCCTACAGGAGAGGCGCCCCATTGCCGCGCTAATTTTTCTTTTCTTTATATATATATTCAGTTGGGCCAATTAATTTCTTTCTATTGTAGTATGGAGACGGTGTCTCGCTCTCCTGCTCAGGCTGGTTGTTGATACTCCTGACCTTGAGGCAATCCGCCCCCTCGGGCCTCCCAAGAGCTTAGGATTACATGGCTTGGAGCCACAGCGCGCCGGCCATAAAGTAAATGTTAAATAAATATGTGCTAAATATATGAAAAGGTAATGTTAAGTGAAAAGCATATAAAATTTCATAAAATGTGATTTCTGTGAAAAATCTATATAGAAAAAGAATTGGAACCACACACAACCAAATGGGAAAAGATGTCATGGGAAATTCTTAAAAACAGCTTTATTGAGGTATAATTTGACATACCATAAAACTCACCCATTGTATGTGTACAGTTCAATTACTTCATTTATACAATTGTGCAATTATACAATAATCCAGTGTCATGGTCAATATTCGTTTTCTGATTTGTTCTTTTCTATATTGTAAAGAAAGACCTATTCTTTGAAACTTTTACTTAAAGTTGACTGCAGTTGAACTCTAAAATACCTACAAAATCACTGTCTAATCTTCTGAGTTTACTTCTTCACTTTGATACTTGCTAGCTCAAACTGGATTTGAAAAGCAGCAGGGAGGCCATTTGCTATCATTAGAAGTGAAACTTTAAGGCTAGAGCAGGCATGATACTGCACAGATTTCTGTTTGGTGTGCTATACAGTAAGATCACTGTTCTTGATCCTTCCGCAAATAAACGTTGCACAGAATAACTAGTACAGGCACAGTTCCCAACGGAAATGCAGGTTCTGAAGGCCACCAGCTGTGAGCAACTGCTTTTCTGCTCCTCAATTCTGCTAGCAGAGAGTGCAGTGTAAGAGCTGCAGAGGTCCCCCAACCTGCCAGGGAAGCCGGCCGCTTCTGTCCCCGGTCTGTGAGGGGTCCAGAAACAAGGCCTTCCATGTATTCAACTTAGCTCTCTAAAAGAGAAAACCCTTCCAGAAGTGGACTGAGATTGGTTAGCACCTAAGTCCCCTTCACAGGCCCGGCTCCCAGTGCCCCGCCTACAGCCTCCTACCTGCAGAGAAGCAAAGCAAGGACACCTGGTGCCTTAGGCGGGCCAAGCCTAGCACCGTGGGAGCAAAGAACATGGCTTCATCATCGGGGTGCGCGATCACCAGGAGGGTCCGGCTTCCAGCTCCCAGCAAGCCTGCCTGCTCCTGACTCTTCGTTCGTTCTGAGGAGTCCCAAACCCAGAAGCCCCAAGCGAGGACCGCTGCTACCACACATGCGAGACCGACCACTTCCATGCTGGGTAAGTGGCGCTGCGCCTGCGCACTAGGGAAGGCTGCCGCTGACCCTAATTCCGGCGAGAAAACTGCGCCCGCTAACTTTGGGTTCCGCCTTTAAGTCCGTCCCGCCGACCTGCTCAGGAGGCTTCACACTTTAAAAGCAGTTTCTCTTGGGGCTTAACCCAGAAGCCTCTCATCACTTCTTTATCGAGCTCTCGCCACTTTTTGAAGCATTTATGAAGTGTTGTGCCGGTTTCAGGGCTGATCCAAGCCTATGTCCAGTTTTCCTAGTCCTACCTTACAGTACAATAGGTACTGTGCTTTTCTTTTTCCTTCTCAATTTTGGGATGTGCAGTGTGGCTTTTCTAAAAGTACGCGGTAACAAGGAACTGTCTAGTCATTTCAATAAAAGAGTAAGGCTGAGGGTGCACTTCGTAGTAGCAGGGCCACAGGCTCCTCTTGCAAGTTACTTTAGATTAAGGAGCGACATCGCATTTCAGTGAGGTTTTGGTCGAATTCCAGCCACCACGCCCTGCTAATTTTTATTTTTTGCAGAGATGGAGTCTCACAATGTTGCTTAGGCTGGGGCAGGGAGGTGACAGTGGTGTGGGATTTCTATCCCAAACTATCAGACCACATGTGCAGGTGTGCAGGCGGCATATCGGCAAATCAAACGCCAGGACAAGGTGATGACAGAGCTGAAGTCTGTGTGAGAGGAAGGCCCTGCCCCACCCCCCACCCGTGCATCAGTCATCAGTCCCCTTCCCATGGCTGGTGGGTGCCTCAGCCCTGCCTTTCCTCTGTGTCAGGTGACCCGAGGGCTGTGCTGAGCCCCCCAGAGCCTCCCATCAGAGCCTGGAGTGGCCTCTGGCCTCCTCGGGAAGCAGGACCCTGCCTGACATCTCAGCCCCTGGACCTGAGTCAGTGAGTTTGTCCAGCAGAGGAATGGTGACAAAAGACACCCCTGGTGGATCTCATATAGAAAATCCCTCCATGCATGTTGCAAAGATAGATAAAAAAAATATATTTTTATCTACTTTAAAAATGAGTAGAAGGCCTGGTGCCGTGGCTCACACCTGTAATCCTAGCACTCTGGGAGACTGAGGCGGGAAGATTGCTCAAGGTCAGGAGTTTGAAACCAGCCTGAGCAAGAGTGAGACCCTGTCTCTACTATAAATAGAAAGAAATTAATTGCGCACCTGTGAACCTGCTGACGTAGTATATAGAAGACATTAGGACCGGGCATGGGGCGCATGGCCTGGTCAGCTCCCAGCTACTTGGGTGTTGAGTGGAAAAGGGTCTCCTAGAAGTGACAACAGCAGTGGGGACCCATAAGCACATATAAATATGAAGAAGGGGAACCTTCCCCCCAATCGCAGAAAGAGAGGTGTGGCTCCCCAGACAAGAGTGGGGCAACCCCCCGCTAGTATTGCTTTCTCTCTCTCTGTTCTCCTGCTCAGCCTGACCGCTGGGGGTTGCATGGCTACAGGTTGCAAGAGGAGTTGTACATCAGAGTGTAGGGTCAATTGGTACCTCAATGTGCCTGGTGTAAAAAAGTGAAAATTTGCAGCCTGGACTGTGTGTTGGGCTGGGCTCTTCACGCCTGTAATGCTCTAGCCGTGTGGTGTGGTGAGCTGAGGACCGTGAGTCTCAGGAGTTCGAAACAGAGTGTCGTTGTGTGGAGCAAGAGCAAGACGGCGCCCCATCCTCTACTAAAATAGGGAAAGAATTGAATTGGACAAGTTAAACCCAGCCTTATAAGAAAAAATAGGCCAGGTATGGGTGTCGCCATCCTGTACTCCAACTGACTGAAGGAGCAGGAATTCTGAGCCGAGAGTTTGAGCGTTCTGTGAGCCCTTGGATGATGCCCGCACGACACTCTAGCCCCGGGCCTAGAGTAACCTGTCTCAAAAAAAAAAAAAAAAAAGGAAAGCACTGAGGACATCAAAGAGGGAGAGAAGGTCAGGAATGTAACCCCAAAATATTGTTTGTAAGATCTGAGCCTCACATCTCCACACAAACAGATCAGATCACAAGCAGACTACCAAAGACTGAGGACTGAATTATGATAGGCCACCACCCAGGTCCCATACTGGCCACTGGGGGGCACGTGCATAGGACAGAGCCAAATAGCATTCCAAAGGCCTGGGAAAAAGAACTGGCCTTGAAAATACAACATTGGAACTTGAAGCCTGAACCCAACCAGTCAATTGTTTAATAAAACAATAATACCAGCATTCTCCATAAGATTTAAATGAAATTGTCTCATAACATAAAATATTCAAAATATTCAAGATACATACAAAATTGCTCATTATATGGAGGCAAGAAAATCTCAACACACATGGGAAGAGACAATAGGTACCAATGTGAAGATGGCACAGATGTTGGAATTATTTGACAAAGACTTTGAAGGAACAATTAGAAAATACTCCAATAAGTAAGGGCAAACACCATTGAAAATCTCAGGAAATAAACAAAATATAAAGAAGAACCAAATGAATGTTTCAGAACTGAAAATAAAATAAGTTAAAAAAATTTTAAACTCACTGCATAAGCTCAATGGCAAAATGGAAATGACAAAGGAAAGATTCACTGAATCTGAAGATAGTTCAATAGAAACTATGAAATTTGAATAACATAGACAAAAAGATTTTAAAAAGTGAATAGAGCCTCAAAGACATGTAGGATAGTACCAAAAGGTATAATATTCATGTCATCAGAGTCAAAAAAGGAGAAGAAAGAGCATGGTGCAGAAAAAAAAGTTTTTAAAGAAATAATGGCTTACAAGTAAACAGACGAGGAAAAAAAAGAAATAATGGCTTAAAACTTCTTAAATTTCATAAAAGACATAAATCTACAGATTCAAAAATCTTAGTAAATGACCAACATGATTTACAAAAAAGATCCTCTCCCAGGTGTATCACAATCAAACTATTAAAAACCAAAGCCAAAAACTCTTGCAAGCAGGCAGAGAAAGGCAATGCATTTCCTATAAAGAAACAACAATTCAAATGACTGCAGAGTTCTCATCAGACACAATGGAGGCCAGAAGAAAGCAGAATAATATTTTTTGAAGTCCTGAAAGAAAATAACTATCAGAGATGGAATCAAGATGGCCAACTAGATGCAGGTAGTTTGTGCCTCTTTCATGCAGAGGAACCAGAATAGTAAGTAGATATTCATATTTTGAATAGATCCTCTAGGAGAGAATAGTAGGAGTCACCAACGCAGTGAGGGGAAGCACCAAAGGTAAGTGAGGCGAGGGTCAAGGCAGCTTGCGCAGCCAAGGACTGGGCGAGAGCTGGGGGAGGTTCCTGGATACGGGAAACAGTAACAGAGAAACCCCCAAGTCTACACACTCCAAAAAGGCTTTTAGGATCTTGGCTTCGGGGAAACCCGTCAACCGCGCACAGGGGCCTCGGGGCTAACATAGGGAGCTGCCTAGAGTTGCCAGACGACATTGTTCCAGAGGTGGAACCTCACCGGGATGCAGCAGGCTCTGAAGCCTAGAGCGCTTGACTGCGCCCCACTTGAGAGCATAGAGGCCAGAGACCACGTGCGAGCTGCTTGCCACGGGAGGTGCGATGGAGGAGGGGAGAGGGGAACTGGAGCGCCCCAGAACCCCGGGGGGCCCCACCGCCTGGGATGCAGGTCTGTGTTGACACTGGGATGTGGTCAAGCTGCACTCCCACAGCACCTGTGTGCCATACACGCGTTGCTGGGGAGATGGGGCACCATTCTCAGCTCGCAATCCCAAGGGGTTGCATTTTGGGAGTTTCATGCTGGCTGGCAACCTGTCCTTGAGGCAATGTTTGGCTGGAACAGCGTGGCTCCACTGCCTGGGCCCAAGGAGGGAGCAGGGAAAGCCAGCTCTTCAACACATGCCTAGGACAACAGCCACTGCATGGAAGGGCCACGTGTGGGTCAGCTGGAGATTCATGTGGACCAACGACACTCCCTCACAGTTCTTGGTCCATGGCTGATGCGCTGAGAGGGGTGCCACGTCTGCTGGTCACAGGCCCACGATGACATTTTGAGGTTTATGTTGTGCTGCGCACCACTTGGGCGAGTATGAGGTGACTCGGCTGTAGCTGCCCCACCCCTTGGCTGAGAAATGGAGGAGCAGAGGTTCCTCAGGCACACTTGGGACATATTACCACTTCCTGCTGCAGGGTGCTGGCTTGTTTTAATGACACATTCTCTTGCACCCCTCCTACCCATCGATGGCAGTCAGAGAAAATAATTTTGGGCTTGGCTGCTGGATAGCCATGGCTCCTCCCCCCAGTTGAACAAGCGAGACTCGCCACTGGAATCAAGAGGGCTGGTTCTAGGCCGGCGGCGCGGTGGTCACGCCTATAAGCTACCACTCGTGGAGGCGAGGTGGGTGGATTGCTCAGTCAGGAGATCGAACCAGCTGAGCAAGAGCGAGACCCCGTCTCTATCTATAAATAGAAGAACCAAATTAATTGGCCAAGCTAATAATATAGAAAAAATTAGGGCGGGCATGGTGGCGCGATGCCGGTGGTCGCTACTTCGGGATGGCGTGACGGCAGGAGGATTGCTTGACCAGGAGGTATAAGGTTGCTCGTGAGCTGGTGACGCATGGGGCACTACTGCGTAGGCTGGGCAAAGAGCGGAGGACTCGTGTCTCGCGAAAAAAAAAAAAGAAGCTGCTTCTCAATGGCAGGTGCATGTTCCGGCTGAGCCCCCCACTGAGAGTGGGGCTGCCGCAATTTGTGAGCTTTCTGCCTGGAGGCATTTCATGGGGTTGTGCACAGCTTAGATAGGTAAGCTGGACCAGGTGCCCACAGACACCAGACACAAGAGTGGTGCAGGGAGATGTGCCCACAGACACCAGACACAAGAGTGGTGCAGGGAGATGCAGGGGAGAGGTTTCAGTCCCAGACTTGGGTGGTGAGGAAGCCCTTGTGGACATATCTAAATGGGGAAAGAAGAAGTCAAACTATTGCTCTTTGCTGACAATATGATCTTGTACCTAGAAAACCCTAAAGATGCTGCCAGGAGACTCCTGGAATTGATAAATAA